CTGTTTTATTTCCATTGGCGACTCCTAGAGGCAGTTGTGTTAAATTGCTCTCTACAAAGTGTCTGAGCCTTGCAATGGCAGCTGTATGAGACGGGTTCAGCAGGTATATAAGGTTTCCATACCATACAGTTGACCAGCTAAACATTAAAGCACAATTTGCAGCGGTCACCTGTTTTCCCAATGTAATCTGAGCGATCTACCGCACGCACATTGCTATAAAGACACTATCTGAAGATGAATTTGCATGCGTGAATCAGAAACATTTCAATATTATTATATCTGTAAAATGTTGCAGCACCCTGAACAGTCTCAGTGGCGCGCTCGTAAGACACATGTGAACATGTTTTGACACGTTCGAGCATGAACTCGGCTCGAATCCAGCGTCTGATGAACTCTTTCTTCTTTTTTCCCCCGCTACATATCAGATTATGCCTACTATTTATCACGAGAAAGACTAGTAGGAATCATTAATAAGTTTGTGCATCATATTTTATTTGCACATTTATTGAATGGAAATGTTTCTGATTCACGCATGCAAATTCATCTTCATATAGTGTCTTTATAGCAATGTGCGTGCAGTAGATCGCTCAGATTACATCGGGAAAACAGGCGACCGCTGCAAATTGTGCTTTAATGTTTAGCTGGTCAACTGTATGGTATGGAAACCTTACATACCTATCTGAAGATGAATTTGCATGCGTGAATCAGAAACATTTCCATTCAATAAATGTGCAAATAAAATATGATGCTTATTGATATGAACTTATTAATGATTCCTACTTGTCTTTCTCGTGATAAATAGTTGACAAAATCTGATATGTAGCGGGGGAAAAAACAAGAAAGAGTTCATCAGACGCTGGATTCGAGCCGAGTTCAAGCTCGAACGTATCAATTCCTGATCACATGGGTCTTACGAGAAGCGCCACTGAGACTGTTACCCATCCTGCAACATTTTACAGATATAAACGACAATATTTCTTTTTTCAATGCACTCAGTGCGATGTTCAGACCCAACTGTGTTAACCGCATCAGCTAAACTCTCCCGCTCTATTTATTTCTTTTATTGTTAATTCCGGAGAACAAACTTGCAAATAACACCGCTTTTCTCCGGTCTACCTCTGAAAGCACCTCCAATTCACATTCTGTTCAAAGTTTCTCTTTTTGCTTGCTTTTGCCATTGCTTTTTCGTTGGGTTTTGCCATTAGCATAGTCATTAGCATATTCATACGGGGGAGGAGGCAGGGAGGGGTTTTGTGCTCGTGCATGTTGCGCTCAGTTTCACGTTCATTCAGATGTACAAAAGAATATGCGTGAGATTCGGCGTACGCAGTGTTTCATACATCTGAAATTTTTTCTGCGTACGCACATTTACAGCTTTGTGCGTACGCAATGTTTTAGTAAGATTTCCACGCAAGTCTTCGTACATGAGGCCCCTGGAGTTCAGGATAGGGCCACTGTTACAGGGGTATAATTAAAATCATTTATTTATAAGAAATTAGTACTTCATTCAGAAAAAGTGTTTGTAAACCTTGTACATTTTACAGCCTTTTTTAAACAGCAAATCATAATTATTTCTGAATGATCTTGTGACACTGAAAACTAAATGCCTTTTGCAAAGTCAGCTTTGGTTTCACAGAAATAAAATCTATTGAAATAGAAAAATTATTCAACGTTTTCAAACTTTTGAACAGTGTGTTCTTTGAGGCATTTCTGGCCACTTGGCGTCTTGTCTTTTATTGAAGTGCATGACCTTGAGCACGCAATGATGTGTGCGTCTGTGTTTGGCTTCCTGTTGTGCCAAATCCTTAAATCCCAATGCAAACAGCTCTCCTCGATTTTGCCTCAAGTGTGGCGAATCGCAGACATCTTCTAACGTTTTCTAAGTAGAGGTGCATGCTTTTTGCTTGACAGAAGTGAGAGAGCATTTTAAAGTCTGCGCAATGACACGGTGGACACTCTGTAGACGAATCCTCAAACACTTGTTGTGCTGGAGACTTTTTCCCCCCATCAGCCACCTCTCCTTCATCAAAGAACAGCAGGACTTCGACAACATGCCAGTCTGAGCTGAAATTCAAAGCCTGTCAGATGCAGAACTGATGCACACTACTGAGGGAGTGATTTGAAAGGCTGCTGCTACATTTCTGCAAATTTGGGTGCTGTTTGTTGATGTAGTGAGATGGTGATGAGCTTTGACTTTCATCTCGGGCTGTTGTTTTGTGGTGTCACATATACAAGGTGTCTAATGGAGACGTACGGTGTAATGTCCCGGGTTGTGACGTTTGAAACAAATGCTCACTATATATATAACTTAGATGGAAGCTGATATGCTTTAGACCATCAGTCTTCTTTATCTCTCCTTACTTCATGACTTTCCTCAGGATATAAACGTAACAATAAAACTCAAACACTACTTGCTCATGTCTTCTGACTTTGTCTGAAATGCTGATGCTTATCTGTGGGATCAGTTTTTTTTTTTATGCAATATTTGTCATGGCAGCATAGTGGCTTAGTGGTTAGCACTGTCGCCTCACAGCAAAAAGGTCACTGGTTTGAGTCCCAGCTGGGCCAGTTGGAATTTCTGTGTGGAGTTTGCATGTTCGCCCTATGTTCGTTTGGGTTTCCTCCTGGTGCTCCGGTTTCCCCCACAGTCCAAACACATGCGCTATAGGTGAATCGAATAAAATAAATTGGCAATAATGTTAGAGTGTGTGTTTGTGTGAATGAGTGTATGGGTGTTTTCCAATACTGTGCTGCAGCTGGTAGGGCATCCACTGCAAAAAACATATACTGGAATAGTTATATAATATTAAATAATATTCCGCTGTGGTGACCCCTGATAAATAGGGGACTAAGCTATAGGTCTTAAACTGAAATCCTGCAGGGCCACAGCTCTGCATGGTTTTGCTCCAACCCTAATCAAACACTGCTGATCCAACTAATCAAGGTGTTCAATACTACTAGAGTCTATTAAGCAGGTGTGAGTTGGAGGTGGTTGGAGTTAAAATCTACAGAGCTGTGGCCCTCCAGGAATTGAGTTTGAGACCCTTGGACAAAGCCGAAAGAAAATGAATGAATGAATGAACAATATTTGTCAGTTTTACTGTTACTGAAATACTGTCTACTTTTATGTGACAAAATTAGCATTGTTTGTTGATGTTGAAGTGCAAATTTAAAGAAGTATTTATATAAAAACAGCTTTTCATTTACTTAACCACAGTTCATCCAAGATGTTGAATTCTTTGGTAGGAGATTTAGACAGATTTCCATCTGAATAAAATGCAAGTCAAATATGTCAGTCTACAAAAAATCAAAAAACAAAAATAAATCATATACTATAGGCATCGCTAAATTAATAAATAAATAAAAGAAAAAAAATCTACTTAAAATTGTATGGTTACTTTTTTTAACTTAAAAAACTTTCACTTTTTTTTTTAGTTGACTCAAGTTTTACCCCAAGTATTGTACACTAGTTTACTCAATTTAAGTAGAGTCAACTAAAAAAAAAAGCTGTGCAACAAGTTGCCTTACAGTCTTACAGTAAGTTAAAGTTTAAGTTAAGAGTCAATGTTTTTTTACAGTGTATCTGTGGGTCCTGATGATATGTTGAGGTCTTATGAATAGGCATGGGATGGGATAAGTGTTTTCAAGGTATACCGTGGTTTGGAAAAAAGTCAAATATTTAAAGCCGCCAATTTTTTTTATTTACTTTTTTATATTTTTTTATTTATTTATTTTTTTTGCCATATCTGTGTGGAGTTTGCATGTTTTCCCCGTGTATGTGTGGGTTTCCTACAGGTGCTGCGGTTTCCCCCACAAGTCTGAAAACGTGGTATAGGTGAATTGGGTAGGCTAAATTTTCCGTAGACTATGTGTGTGAAGGAGTGTGTATGAATGTTTCCCAGTGATGGGTTGCAGCTGGAAGGGCGTCCGCTGAGTAAAACATATGCTGGATAAGTAGGCGGTTTAATTAGTAAAGGGACCAAGCCAAAAAGAAAATGAATGAATGAATGAAGACAGCAGAAATCAGTGATTCATTTGAATTATTTAGCCTGGCATGTTTACTGCTCCAAAATATTTTAAAAGTTTTTCAAAATAAAATATTTTGTATTCAAAGAGGACAAAGTTTTAGGTTTTTACCCAGACAATTTTATCCCAGGTTATACCATCAGAATCTTATACCGGCCCATGCTTACTGTTGAAACAAAACAATCAGTCTGTACTAGAAATGGAATCATTTGAAGCCATGGGAAGTCATTTTATTTTGCTTCTATTTGTTTTTGTTTTTTTTTACTTTCAACGTGCCCAAAGGCATTGACTTGCATTTTATGAGATAGTTACAGCAAAAAAAAAAAAAAAATAGTCTTTAATGTTCTAGTTACCAAAAAAGGGACATGTTGGATGGCCTGAGGGTGAGTAAATCAACAGCATTTTTATTTTTTGTTGCGTGAACTATCCCTTTAAGGCAAAATATTTAACAAATCAACATAAAACAAGTGAAAACTGCCCTTTCATGTAAAATGTAGCTCAAAAACCATCTTTTTCTGTATTTCACATACCTTAGTTCAGGCTCGATAGTTCACGTTAACAAATATGCGATGCAGAAGTTATTTTTTAAATGTCTGTTGTGTGTACGTACTGTATCTGATTAATCTCATATGAATAAGATGCATTTGGGTAAGTTAATTAACATACTAGTAAAGGGCTTCAGTTTAGCAATAGCAGTGTGATTATATTGTTCGGCTGCATTTTGCTCAGCTCATATTCAAAATGATTAAGTATAATTACATTATGTGAAACAATCATATTCATTTTAGAGGTTTTTATTAGATTAACACTGGATGCGAATCATTAGTCTGAAAGAAAAGTTGTGGTTGATATAAAGAGAAATGGGAGATGCTTCAGTGTAAAATCAGATTGTTATGATGTATGAGGATGCTTAATAATTGATTCTCTGATTCCGTTTCTCTTTTCTCTTGTCCAAATCTTCCTCCCTTACCCAGGTTCCTGGCTGTTCTCTGTGTCTGAGTTGGCTGTGCCAGGGGCGGAGGTGGGTCGGATCTCAGCAACAGATGCTGACTTGGGTGAGAACGCCAAACTGGAGTACACCATCCTAGATGGAGAGTCAGGAGACACCTTTAACATCTCTGGAGCCAACCAGGAGGCCGTGATTATTCTGAACAAGGTAGGAGAAAAGTCCAGGGAACTTACAGTGTGAGAAAGATAGAAAAAACACATGAAAAGTCAAATTCTTTTTTTAAAGCCAGGCTTATGGTATATTGATTTCTAGCCTGGTTTATGATGGATGCATTTCTGGACTGATTTATGACAGTTGAATTTCTAGCCTGATTTGTGCAGATATATTTAGATACTATTGGCTAAAAGATGTACTGTTCAGTTTTAGGCTCTTCATAATGTGTTTCAGACTGTTGGAAAGGAAACCTCCAGAATATACTTTTTTTTCAATTTGCATGTGTTTATTTTATTTATTTTTATTCTTACAATACATATTTTATAAGTTGTTTTCTCAAAGGGCGACTTTTTCTTGTGTCTTCACTTCAGTAGCACATACAGTACACAAAAACTTTACAGCATTATTCCTATCGGGATTCTGACAGTTTTTGCAGAGGTGTTTGTTCTTATAACATTTGCTTCATTTTAGACAACATCTTACTCCTAAAAACACAAGAAATGTGTTTTTCTGGCTGTTGACAGTGTTTTCTGATTTATGGAGTGATAAAAAGGGTTCTTTAGAATGTCCTTCGTAAAAGTGTTTTCCTTTGTGTCAACTGAATAAAACATTTTGAACTTAAGAACAGACTTGAAAGTTTAGATTTATGTTCAGGTAATGAGTGAAGTTTACATATAAACTAATTTTAAGAGGATCACGTGCTTATGATTGACCACGGCGGGTCCCACATTAGTTAACACATGATACGCCAATCAGATGAATTCAAATATGTATAAATCGCCAGATTTCCTTAGCCATCTTTGTCTTGAAGAATCTCCCCATCCACCTCTACTTATTCCCCTATTTCTTAACTAAATAGGGGGAAGCTATCGATACCTACCTGAGCTCATACTCCCATTTCACCAGATGAAAAGAGAGGGAGCCCTGGGTTAGAGGATCTCAGAAAGCGAGCCAAACTTCCTCTTACTTATAATGATAGTAATAATAATAATAATAATAATAATAATAATACTGTTGCCAATTTGCGATGAAAATCCTACATAACGGTAATACTTTGATTTAGGTATTCACATGTCTGCACTGCACTTCAATAATGCGATTAGAATCGACATAGTCCACATCTTAATTTGATTTTTGTTTAGTTCGATTATGACCTTAATTGGAATCAAATTTTCAAAATCAAAATTAATCAAAAATCGCTGTTTACATGCTAGAATATTAATCAGAGTATTGTCTTAATCGTATTAAAATTTAATTATTGGTGTAAATAGTGTTTACAGCAACCATATTTAGTCATGAAATCTCAAGAATGCTTGATGAACATGCAAGAATCAATGAAGTTTACTCTTCTCTGCCACAAAGTATGTTAATACTTCTGCTAGAACCATTGAGGTTTGTTCTCACATTTCAAACGGGGTTGAGCTTCTGCTTATGTTTGTTGATGAGCATTTAGAAACCAAAATTAAATCTGTTCATCATATGAAGCAATTGTGTCAAATGTTTTGGTCAACAGGCTAACAATGAAGAACCACAAACCTCTCAGATGTAACTTAAATATCTTTATTCGTTTTCTGAAGATGAACTGAAACACAAAAAAACGATGTGAGAATGAGCAAATGATGGCAATTTTCATTTTGCGGTTGAACTCATGCATTTAAATTCTGGATTTAAAAATATATATTTTTAGGTAGTATCCTATAAATCCAGAAAAATCCATGAAGGTATCAGAAATAAATAATTAACCACATTTGATTTTAGTGGTTTCATCCAAGTCTTTTATTAGTTAAGTAAATGTTATGTAGCTTTTATTCACAAACAAACATTGATCACCAATCAATGTTTACAGCAATTAGAATTTTAAGCATGCTTGATTGACATGGAACAACCAATGAGGTTTACTCTTTAGTGTCACAAAGTACGTTAAAACTTCAGCTAGAACCACTGAGGTTTGTTCTCACATTTCAAACATGTGGTTGAGCTTCTGTTTATGTTTGTTGATGAACATTTAGAAGCTCAAATTAAATCTGTTCATCATATAAAGCAATTGTGTCTCATTCTTTTGGTGAACAGACTTAATGGACAATCATAAATCTCTCAGATTTAATTAAAAACATCTTCATTTGTCTTCTAAAGACATCTAAAAATGATGTGACAATAAACAAATTCTGGATTTTATTTTATTTTTGCTGCATCTGTTTTAGGCAGTTTCCCAAAAAAAAACATTTGAATTATGTGGACAGAAACTCGGCTGCTGGCAGCTAAATATGGCTACAGCAGTGAAGGTTGTCGACCAGCATGCTCTTTCTGTTTAAAGCAGACTGACCGAGAAGTCTTGCTGGCTAAGCTAGTTAAGAAGTCTGGTGGGAACTGCAACACAATAGCGGTGACCTGCAACCAAAAACCCAATGCAAGCTGGTAACCATCTACTCCAGTCTTTTCAGCAGGGAAAAGTGTGTGTGTGTGTGTGTGTGTGTGTGTGTGTGTGTGTGTGTGTGTGTGTGTGTGTGTGTGTGTGTGTGGGCATGGTTTGTTGGAAGGTGGGCAGAGATCAAAGGACGCCTCATAGAGCAGATGATGTCCACGTGTAGGAGGGGCAGGTTACTCATTCTGCCAGGTGTCGTGAGGAAATCTGCTCCAGCTATAGAAAAAAAAGCCTCCACAAAAGGCCCAAACGAGTGTTGGTGATATATAGGCGATGTGAGTCAATGTTGAATCAGCCCCATCGCAGTCTGTGCAGGCTCTGTGTGTGCGTGAGACGCTGATCAGACAGGCTGCGAAATAAAAGAGCGTGATTTATGCTGACATGCCGTGTGGTGTGTGCCACGCGCAGAAGCCCCCCATGAGACCACACTCATCTCTGAGAGCCTGTTTCTTCACTGGCAAAGATTCTGACTGTCACTGTTCGCCTCAGGACATCTCCACATCATCACCTGCATTGGCAGAGGATGCATTAGTGAATTAAAGCCATGGTTCACTCAAAAATTACCATTCTGTCATTGTTTACTCACACGTGTCATTACAGATTTATATGCTGCCTTTTGTTTTGTATATGACTCAAAGTAAGAATCTCTTGTCATACAGTGACACTTCATAGTCACCAGGGGCTGTCAAGCTTGAAACGGCATCAAAAAGACCTTAAAAGTGGTCTGTAGGACTCATGCATCGTATTGCATAGAGGTTTTATAGGTTTGTGGAAAGAACAGAAACAAACGTAACTGTTATTTGAAGATAATTACAGAAAGAGACTCCAAATATCTTCCCGTGTCTGATTGCGAGGGTGTATGTAATTCTGAGTTGGATTATTTATAAGAAAGCTGTCACTCCGATCCATACCTAGCATGTTGCTTCCTTCGCCTACGTGCAGAGATAGTCAAAACAGCGCATCGCTTATGTTTCCATCACTTGGAAATGTAGATTTTAACGAGTAATACATGATTATGTACACACACACACACACACACACACACACACCGAACACACACACACACACCGAACACACACACACACACACACACACACACACACACACACACACACACACACACACACACACACACACACACACACACACATTCAAAGTTAATTTTAATACTTTGATTATACAAGCTGACAATAAACATCCAGAGGCCATCAACACTACAGTGAGTACCATTTAGTTTAACACATAACAAAATTGTAGGATTTTTTCTCTCGACAACAAAACAAAATGAAAAAAATTAATGCAGAGAAAATGTTGAGAAAAGAGTAGTGAAGAAAGCAACTGATTGTGATATAGATGAGCTTGAACAAGCTTTGCATATTAACAGCATCATTTTGACAGATGGTCAAGGTGCTCCAGGATTGGACAGCCCAGTCACCAGAAATGAACATTATTGAGCATGTCTGGAGTAGTATGAAGGAGGAAGCATTGGAAATAAATCCAAAGGCTTTTGATGAACTCTGGGAGTCCTGCAAGAACGCTTTCTTTGCCATCCCAGATGACTTTGTTAATAAGTTATTAGAGTCATTGCAAAGATGTATGGATGCAGTCCTCCAAGATCATAGGAGTCATACACAATATTAATTCTTTTTCCACAGCACCATGACAATATATTCTATACTGTATATTATTTCTGTTAAGTGACAAGACTTTTGTCTAATCAAAGTTAGACCTTACTGTCCTTGTTAAATAAGAAAAATCAAGGCATGATTATATTTTATTTTGGTAAAATAAGCATTCTTTTATATCAGCCACCTCTGATAGATAGCGAATGATCAACTAGATATCGAGTTATTATTTGTTGTTCCTAAAATAAAACGTGGATAGGCAACAAGACTTAGCACTTGTAGTAGTCTTCAACAAGACAACTACTACTCAGGTAGTGTAATATGACCTGATTTAATTTTTATTTTTTTTACTGTAGGACAGTTGCAATATTTGGCCTTATTTTAAAGTTGCAATGTAAAAAAAACTTTATATTTCTGTAAAGATATACAATGCTTTAAATGCATATACAGAAATGTGAACAGTGCAGTATTTTGGCTGTAATTGACTTACTGTACATCAAGTTACTAGTGAATTGCTGCTAGTACGTTACTGTAGATTCTACAGGAAATTATTAACAGTTTGTGTTAGAATATGTCACAGGGTTTTTATTTTCTTAGCAAAAACATCCTGACCTGAGTCCTTGGCATAAAAATCAATCTTTAGGCTTTAATAGACCAGGCTTTAATAGACAACCTAGGAACTCAGGAAATGTATTGTTTGTTGAAAACTGTTCACACATAGGCAATAAAAATGAGTAATGCATAAAATATGTATCCTTGCAAAAGCCATACTGTTACATTTTTTTTTATGTAAACACAGTGGAATGCATTAATATAAAACTATAATACAAAACTGTTTATTGACATAATCTTTTTTTTACCACTTTACATGCAAATCAGTTACCCAGCAAAGCACCTATTGTTGACTGATACTTTTGAATTAAAAATTTAAGTTGAATAGATTTCTG